CCCCCTTCGGGCAGCAGGAGCCGGGCCCCAGCTCCCTGCACCGTTTCTCCCTCTCCCCTCCACTGCCCTGTCACCCTCCTGGCCACCCTTTCTCCCAGTGCCGTGCCCCAGCTCCACACCAACTCCATTAACCACACTCCCCAAAGTGGTTCTTCCCCTTTGGTACCTGCTCCCACGCTAGCACACAGTCACTTCTCCTTAACGGTGCTCACATCCCGCTGTCGGGCCGTAACCCCATGCTGCAGGAGGTGCTGGGCATCCGCCCCCACGTCTTGGTGCTGAACAAGATGGACCTGGCTGATCCCCGCTGGCAGCCGGTGAGCGCCGGAGCAGGGCTGGCTGGGGGCCCACGGGTTGCAGCAGGCAGGTGCCAGCGATAGCTCTGCCTGTCCCCTTCAGACAGTCTTGACACAACTGAAACAGCAGGGGTGCCCGCACGTTGTCTTCACTGACTGTCAACGCGATAGCAACGTGAAGAAGGTAACGGGCCAACGGCCATGTGCCCTGCTCTGCTCCTTGCTTCTGGGAGCTGAGGGTTGTACGACAATCCCCCAGCCCCATGGAGAGGCCTCAGTGCCCCACTGTGAGGAGGCGACGCTGCCTGGTCCAGCGTGATCTTCATTGCCAGCCCCATCCTCTCCTTGACCCCCATTTTGCACATCCTCCTGGCACAGCGTCCTCCAAGCGAGCGGCTGCTGCCACCCTGGGCACAGAGCCCTTCTCCCGTGTTTCTTCTGCAGATCGTTCCCCTGGTTGCCAAGCTGGTGGGCAACAGTCCCCGCTACCACAGGGCTGAGGTGAGCTGCAGCAGCGAGACTGCCAGTGTGACATGCGCAGGGTGTTGGGGTGGCCATCTGCAGCTGGAGGGATGAGGCTGCTCGTGCGTGCACCTGGCAAAGGCCGGGTTGTTTCACTGTTGTGGCTGCCCATGGCTCCTGGGGCAGGTGGCCAATCAATGGGCACTCCTTCCCTGTGTCCTTCTTGCTTCCAGAGCACCGAGTACAACATCCTAGTGATTGGTGTGCCCAACGTGGGCAAGTCCTCGCTCATCAACTCTCTGAGGAGGCTGCATCTCAAAAAGGGTATTTCTCTGTCATGCCTGGGCTGGGGACAGAGCATCACTCGCTTTTCTGACTGCATCTCTCCTCAAAGGGAAAGCCACCGCAGTCGGTGGTGAGCCGGGTGTCACCAAGGCAGTGCTGACCAGAATCCAGGTACTGTCCCCATGGCTGGCTGGGTGAGTGCTGGCCTCTGCTTCTCTGTGGCCTCACTGGAAAAAACCTCCTGAGGCAGCAGAGCTGATCCCAAGGGATTGCTCAGGTCTCCTTTCCAGAGAGTGCTTAATGAAAGAGCTCAACGCCTTGGTTACAAGTCCATGGTGTGTCCTAATGGCCCTTCCTTTTCCCACCCCAGGTCTGCGAGAAGCCCCTGATGTACCTTGTGGACACGCCTGGCGTGCTGCCCCCGCGGCTGGGGGACGTGGAGACAGGCATGAAGCTGGCTCTGTGTGGTGAGGTGGTGACTATGGCCCAGGGGACCCCCCCCAAACAGGGATTTGAGCCTTGCCTGGGTCTGGGTCGTGAGGCTGGGGCAGGGGTCTGCTGCTCACTGCCCCCTCCATGCTACCTGGGTACCCACAGGTGGCACATGGAGGGGTGGCAGGGCTGGCAGGGGAGAGCTGGGGCTTGACTCTCTGTTTCAGGAGCCATCCGTGACCACCTGGTGGGGGAGGACATCATGGCTGACTACCTCCTGTACGCCCTCAACAAGCGGCAGCAGTTGGGGTGAGCCAGCAGGGAACCAGAGAGGGCCCATGTGGTCCCCAGGGTGTGGTGGAGAAGCTGTCCCTGGGGAATATTTGGGGGGGACACGATGCTGGCGGGGTGTGAGCCACCTCCTTGGGCAGGTACGTGAAGCGCTACGGGCTGGCCGAGGCCTGCGATGCCATCGAGCCTGTGCTGAGGCACGTGGCCCTCGCCCGGGGCAGGACACAGAAGGTGAAGGTGCTGACAGGCACAGGTGAGTGCTGGGGGAGGTGAGGTCTCTGCTGCCTGGGGCACAGGGGCCAGGCTTTTGGGGGGGTCCCAGGGTGTCTCCAGCCTCTGCTGACACCTCCTGTTGCTTCCCTTTATCTCCAGGGGATGTCAACGTGACGATGCTCAACTACCCAGCAGCTGCCTATGAGTTCCTGTGGGATTTCCGGGCGGGACGCCTGGGCAGGATGACACTGGACTGAGACCTGGCTGCTGACTGAGACCCCGATGCCGCTCGGGGCTGGGGCCACCTCCGCACAGAGTTCCAGTGGGAGACTAAAGCAGCTCTGCTGGCGCAGCCCCCAGGCTCTGACCTCAGACTGCTGTAACGGACCGAGGGGACAAGAAGGACATGGACTGAGACCGTGGTGGCTGCTCCATGGTGTCACGGTGCAGGGCGATGCCATCCATGGGGGGTGCAGCTGCTGATCCCCAGAGAGCTGTTTCCTCGCTGCCATGCTGAATCTTTCTGGCACCTCCACCACAAAATAAAACCTCCATGGGCAGGGAGCTAGCGCGGTGGCCAGCCCCGGGTCCCCGTCCTGCACCCCACAGCCAGCTGTACCTGTGTTGTGCCCAGCTTTGTC